GGTGGAGGCAGTGAGGAAGGTGGAGTCAGTGAGGAGGGGGAGGCAGTGAGGAAGGTGGAGTCAGTGAGGAGGGTGAGAGTGAGGAGGGTGGAGTCAGTGAGGAGGTGGAGGCAGTGAGGAGGGTGGAGTCAGTGAGGAAGGTGGAGTCAGTGAGGAGGGTGGAGTCAGTGAGGAGGGTGGAGTCAGTGAGGAAGGTAGTGAGGAAGGTGGAGTCAGTGAGGAAGGTGGAGTCAGTGAGGAGGGTGGAGTCAGTGAGGAAGGTGGAGGTGGTGATGAGTGAGTCGACGGGGAATAAACCCCCTTTGATGTGTTTTCAGCTTCTGATTTTCTGTTTGAAAGCAAATGACGTGAAATCATAAATATCCGAGAGGCTAAATATGAAATGTCAAATCCGAGACGTAAAAAAAACGTCCAGATTTATGTGAAGTTAGGAAAAAAGTGGAGCTCATACTTTGCGCTGAATACTCTCCCGCTGAACTCCTAAAATAAGACGGAGGGATGATTCACAGAGAAACGTGTTTGAATGACTCATGGCTGCTGCTGCCTCTCTAAAACTCTGAGCTGTTAAACTTCCTCATGAACCCGCTGACCCCTCCTCTTCCTCTTCCTCTTCCTCTTCCTCTTCCTCTTCCTCTTCCTCTGTCCCTGCAGCTGATCCATGTAGCGTGCGTTTGTGCCGGTCACAACGCCAGCAGAGACGTGGTCACGCTGGTCAAGTCCGTCCTCTTTCACAGGTGAGTCTCTTCATTTACAACGACAGAAGTGTTCAGATTGAAGTCTCTGCGTTCAAACTCGGGTACCGTGCTCGAGTCCACTTGAAGAGGTGGTCTCGAGTACGGTCTGATCCGGGCGAACATAACGCCGTTTCATGACCTTTTTTTCCGATTTACAGTCTGTATCTCCCAGCATGCATTGCCCATAGGGAGTAATTTAAACATCTAGTGTTGTAGTCCTCATGTAGCGTTTTTACTCGGTCTTGTCCGTCTCTCGGACTGGGAGTAAGACCACCACAGATTTTCTTCTATTTTTTCCACGTTCTTAATGTGTTTATTAATCTGCAGGATTCAAAATAGAATAAACCCAAGCTGTTAAATTCTGTGACTGCCCTTAAAAGTGGGATGAGCTACATGCCTAAATATGTCACCCTGCTGCCCTGAACACCAAATCAACAATCAGAGGAGATTTTATTCCTGCAGGAAGAACAGTGTGTGCAAAGCTAAACCAGCTGGCTGTCCTCCATAAGGAACCTTTGGATCATGATGTCTCTCTTTTTCTTTTTCAGGAGAAATCCTCTTCACTTCCATTTCATCACCGACACCGTAGCCAATCGCATCCTGAGTTCTCTGTTTCAGTCCTGGATGGTCCCGTCTGTGCAAGTCAGCTTCTACGACGCCGACGAACTCAAGGTAAGAGGAACACACGGTGTCAGTCCTCATCCATCAAACGCCTCTGCTCGTCCCCGTTTCCTGCTTTGTGTCGGGAGGAGGTGAGTCAAAGTCAAAGATCAAAGTCGACCCTTCCACCTCCACGAAGCAGCAGCGAGTCGACTTGAATGCATTGATAAATCTCCTCTGAAGGCAGAGATTCACCTCGCAGCATCAAAGAGACGTCGGCACAAAAGCAGCACGCTCCAGATGAATCAGAGACGCGCAAACAGGAGGTCGCAGCGTGCGGGTTGGAGTGTGCCCGTCTGCATCACATTAACAGATCAGACGATTGATTAAACACCCTGAGTGTTCACAGGATGTAAATTCAGGGGGCGGGGTTAATCTGACGTTTGGTCTCCTTCTAAGTGACAACAGATTCAGAGCAGGATGGATGGAAGACATATTAAACACAAACAGAATGTGTGACTTTTTGATCCAGTAGCTGTCGCCCTTGAGCTCCAGCATGAAACCAAAACAAACTGCTGTTAGGCCACACCTCCTCCATACTGAAGCCTCCGCTCTCCTCCAGAGACACACCTCCAACCCCCCTCCAGTCACGTTCACATGAAGGACTTATGGATTAGAAAGAACCATAATTAAGCTCCATTGTAGCTTCACATTGCATGTAAACAGTCACAGAATGAGCGTGATCTAAAAACTCTTACTAACATCCAAATAATCAGTGAGTATGTTCTTCTTCTTCTCTCTAGTTCTTGACTTAAACAGCTTTTAAACACAAGGGGAGGAGCCGGCCGTCCCGTCCATCTAAACACGGCTCTGACAACAACACAGCCAGCGGGACTCGAGCTTCTCCCTCACTGTAGACAGTCATGACTCAGAGACACATTCACACAGGAGAGACTGGATCTCTGATTTATTTATGTGGAACATGTAGCACTTTCTTCCTTTAAGTCCCAGGAGGGTACGATGTTTATTGCACAGCGATCATATTCCCTTTTACATTCTGTCAGTTATCTTGTTAATAGGTACTAGGTGTGAGGTGTGTGTGGGAAACTAGGTCTGCGATTACAGTTTTCAATCACGATTAATCTCAAAATTTCAATAATTAATTGGTGGGGGGATTGCAGTTTGCTCCCACCTCGTACTCAGGCTACCCGATGAAAACAAAAACACATTAAAAACCGCTCCAAAGGAAAAGATGCTGCAACGTTTATCTCATCTTATTTTAAAGATTTAAAAGATTTACCTCACCTCACTCCATCTCACGTCCAGGTTTAAATAAAACAAAGTGTGTTTGATAACCTGGAATATGAAGCAGGAGGCACTCAGTCTTCATCTCAAACGGATTCTAAGTAGCAGCTCTTTAAAGGTAAACGGAGGTGAAAAAAGATTTTTCAGTGTGCGGAAACAAAGTGTACCTACGCTGTTCAAACACTTCTCTCCCAAAGTCAAGTGACACTTCAGCACAAAACGCCCCAATCATTCCTTTCTCATCAGGTTGATGAATGTGCTCACAGAGCGACGGGGATGTACGGATCTGTGTGTGTGTGTGTGTGTGTGTGTGTGTGTGTGTGTGTGTGTGTGTGTGTGTGTGTGTGTGTGTGTGTGTGTGTGTGTGTGTGTGTGTGTGTGTGTGTGTGTGTGTGTGTGTGTGTGTGTGTGTGTGTGTGTGTGTGTGTGAGTGACTCCGACCTGCATCCCCCTCCAACACATCATCACATTCTCCCTCCTCTCAGTCTTTGTGCTGAACAATGAGTCCTTTGTACCGTCAGATGGAGCGTCGACCTGCAGCCCTCTTCTCTCTACTTTTCATTAACTGGCATTAAAGAGCAGAAAAAAGAAAAAACAAACGACGCGACTCTAAGCCGATTATATTTGCACATGATGCACTTATGCAGATCCAATTACTCTGAATCAAGAGAATTAATTAAGAGACACTATTTGCAGATTCAGAAAAGAGAGGGGGGAAAAAAAACACACACAGAGGCTCTGCCAGAATGAGCTGAATGCGTCTTTGTGTCGGACCGCTCACGGAATACCGCTCACGTTTAAAGAACAGCGCTCGCTCCAGAAGTCACCTGCTGGAGAAGCATGAAAATAACAAACCTGATGATTTTTCTTCTTCTTCTTCTTTGTCGTTCCAGTCCGAGGTGTCGTGGATCCCCAACAAGCATTACTCAGGTATTTACGGCTTGATGAAGCTGACGCTGACCAAAGCTTTGCCCTCCGACCTGTCCAAGGTCATCGTCCTGGATACGGACATCACCTTTGCCACCGACATCGCCGAGCTCTGGGGCATCTTTAGAAAGTTCACCGGTAAGACACCTTCAAATGTTTAGGCTGTTGAAGGATCTCATCTGTGAAAGTTAAGATCTTGCGTTTTCTTATGTTTGGGTCTGAACGACTTTAAGTCTGACTCAGGGTGCAGGAGTTTAAAAATCCAGGATCAGGGTCAGGATCAGGGTCAGGATCAGGGTCAGGATCAGGGTCAGCATCAGGGTCAGAGTCAGATTGTAACCGTCACAAGAGTTATAGACTGCTCCTTTAAGTCTAGAAAGAAGTTGAGCTCTTCACTGATGTTTGTTTTTCTTGTTTGAAGACAAACAGGTGATCGGTCTGGTGGAGAACCAGAGCGACTGGTACCTGGGGAACCTTTGGAAGAACCACAAACCGTGGCCGGCGCTGGGACGAGGCTTCAACACAGGTAACAACACAGATCGTATTTTTCTAAATATGACTTGAATTTACTATTTATTCTAAGAAACATTCAACAGGATTTGACGACCTCAGTCATGATCCTTTTGTTGGCTCTCTCTAACAGGGGTCATCCTCCTCTACCTGGAGCGACTGAGACGGATCGGTTGGGAGCAGATGTGGCGGCTGACGGCGGAGAGGGAGCTAATGAGCATGCTCAGTACGTCGCTGGCGGATCAGGTGAGCCAGCGATAAATATAATTCCTCTTTTTTTCAGAGATTAGATTGTGGTTTATCTTTGGGTCCATGAGCCCAGAGTGGAACCAGTTTGAGTCTAAAATGAGTCCAGTCTGGATCCAGTTTGAGTCCAAATGAGTCCAGTCTGGATCCAGTTTGAGTCTAAAATGAGTCCAGTCTGGATCCTGTTTGAGTCTAAAATGAGTCCAGTCTGGATCCGGTTTGTTTATGATCCCATTTATGACAAGTGTATTAAATTGGCTACCCCCGATAGCTGAAATACAAAGCTTTGATAAAACCAGAAGAGAGTCCATGTGGCCCTCTTTATTAGTCATACATCCAAGTATCGGCTGTAGACCTCTAACAGTCCGTGTGCGGTCTCTCTGCAGGACATCTTCAACGCCTTCATCAAGCAGAACCCTGTCCTGGTGCACCAGCTGCCCTGCTTCTGGAACGTTCAGCTGTCTGATCACACTCGCTCCGAGCAGTGCTACACCGAGGTGTCTGACCTCAAGGTACACACACACACACACACACACACACACACACACACACACACACACACACACACACACACACACAGTTTGATATACTGCTGAGGGCAGAGGACTGACTCTGTCCTCTGGAGACACGACGTTCCGTCAGGGTTCAGTCTGTTCGATTTACAGAGCTGCTGCTGCAAAAACACAAACTGCAGAAAACTGTTGACTGATGTAGCTGATGATAACGCGTCTCCTCCGTGCTGTGGTCCCAGGTGATCCACTGGAACTCCCCAAAGAAACTACGAGTGAAGAACAAACACGTGGAGTTCTTCAGGAACCTCTATCTGACCTTCTTAGAGTACGACGGAAACCTGCTGAGACGGGAACTGTTCGGCTGCCCGAGTCAGGCCAGTCCAGACAGCGTGCAGGTGAGACACACACACACACACACACACACACACACACAAACGCAAAGAAAGGCCAGTCAGCAGATATTGAGGCTGCAGCATACATTAACAAAGCTTATACTGAAAGATTCTCTTCTTTATTGCCTTACTTAGAGTGTTTGGAAAAGAGCCAGACTGATGTTGGAGCCAATATGGATTTTCTCAGAGTAACAAATATCTGTTAACAGTTTGCCAATATTCAATTAAACTCGTTTTTCAGAAAGGGTTCAAAGTTTTTTAAAAAAGCACTAAAATTGGCAGGAAAGCAGTTTGATATTATACTGTACAGAACAAATGTTGCTGCCATGGTAACAGTCCCTGTTTATGTTTGAAACGAAAATGTCAGAAACGTGCTCAAACTAGGATAAATTGCTTAAAATAAAATGCTTTTGAAAAATGGAGAGAGGTTTACAGACCGATGCAGAGCTGGATAAACACTGAAGCTTCAGTGTCCACCACATGGTGACCTGCGTCAGCTTCGACTCTAGAGAGGAGGGGGCGGGGGAGACAACTCTGTGTAAAATTTGAATTTAGACTGCAGTACCCATTTTAAACACTAGGTGTCAGAGTTACATATTGCTCCTTTAACGAGTTTGATTAATTTGGTCTGTATTTGGTCTGGTTTGTCTGAAGAAAAGGGAAAGCGTTATCCAGCCTGACTGAACTTGAGTTCATAATCCCAAGAATTTTCAGTTATGAGCAGAGTTGTGTGCGTGTGTCCTCTCAGCTGCAGGCGGCTCTGGAGGAGCTGGACGAGGACGATCAGTGTTACGACTTTCGACGGGAGCGACTCACTGTTCACAGAGTCCACCTCTACTTCCTGCAGTACGAGTACACGCCCACCGAGGACGACACGGACATCACGCTGGTGGCCCAGCTCTCCATGGACAGGTAACAAACCATCTCATAATCCCTGAAGCAGTAGTAGTATATATATCCCTGTAGTAGTAGTATATAATATTTACAGTATATTCATACATTAATGTACTTAATAACCATCCCTGTTCTATTTAGTCTTTACTTAATTAGTTAACCATTTTCTGACCTGTTTTTGATAAATATTCTATAGACTGTAATAATCTGAGGGATTATTTGATACATCTGTGCAGGCTCCAGATGTTGGAGGCCATCTGTAAGCACTGGGAGGGCCCCATCAGCCTGGCGCTCTACATGTCCGACGCCGAGGCTCAGCAGTTCCTCCGATACGCTCAAGCCTCAGAGGTCCTCAAGAACCGCAAGAACGTCGGCTACCACATCGTCTACAAGGAGGGCCAGTTCTACCCCGTCAACCTGGTGAGGAACGTGGCCCTGAAGAACGCCAACACGCCGTACGTGTTTCTGACTGATGTGGACTTCCTCCCGATGTATGGTCTCTACGATTACCTCAGGTATGGACTCCCAATAACACTAACTAACCAGTAGAGGCAGCGGCACACTGCAAAGTGAAATGTTTGTTTTTGTCAATGGAGTCTGTCTGCCGTGAGCATTTTTCTGGCACTTTGGGTATCTTGTCAAACACATGATAATCTCTGATAATCACCAAACCCCCAACAGCTCTGGTGCGCTCCCTGTGTAGCAGCCCCCCTCTGACATCTCTCTATTAGTGCATGTCCACAGGTCCTGTTTGTGAATGTGTGTGAGAAGCAAGTCTCTGTGTATTGCCGTTTTGATCTCAAATTTCATTTCGGGACATCTTACAAAGCCTTAAATCTAACAAGGATACCTTGTTTAAGCATTTTAAAGAGGACATATTATCCCCCTTTTTCACCTTTTCAAACAGTCCCCTGTGGTCTAAATGAAACATCTGTGCTGTGCTTTGGTCAAAATATAACATGAATCAAGCACCAGAGGAGGTTTGTGACCCTGTATAAACCAGCTCTCTCAGAACGCTCCGTTTTGGTGTGTATGTCTCTTTAAATGCAATGAGCCCCCCCCTGAGTTTTTCCGGTAGACATCACTCCTTCGCTAGCAAGAAAAAAAAATGGCGGACCTGTGCAAAGGTTTTACCAGAATCCCACTGTGACATCACAAGGAGAGCACATTTGAAACGGAGCATTTTTCTCTGTGTTGTAAGACTTATGCAGACCACAAACAAAGGGCTGGATGGGTTTATTTCAAACTTTTGGGTCTGTAGATACTCAGGTTACCCAAATATATGTTCAAAAACACTGTAGAAATGGAATTTTCATAATATGTCCTCTAATTTACGCATTTTATTGACAAAACCAGTCAGTTGACTGAGAACGGAGATGTTTCTTGTCTCAGTAGTGTATGCTTACAAATATTGGGCTTCAACCATTACAGACTGTTTCATGATTTCAGGCTGACACGATATATACTGGAGCAACATCAAATCTCTTTCTGCCTATTAGTCAGTTTCACTGAAATGACAGCCCACATCAGCTGCAGGCTGAAGCTGGACATTAAGTCTTTGGTTTATTTGGAAACAATCTATGAAATGTAGATGATTTTGATGTTTTTTGGTCACTGTCTTTGAGTTGTCCTCTGAGTTGCGGTCTACCATTGCCTCACATGTCCTGTTTCCTCCATGCAGAAGGTCTGTGGTGCAGCTGGACATGGCTCACACTAAGAAGGCTCTGGTGGTTTCGGCCTTCGAGACGCTTCGTTACCGTCTGTCCTACCCAAAATCCAAAGCTGAGCTGCTCTCTATGCTGGACATGGGGACTCTCTACACCTTCAGGTAACTGGGCTGGAAACAAATGAACATTCCTTTTTTCCACATCTGAATGAAAACAAAGCAGATGGAAAACCAAGTCTTAATCATGTCTTTCTCCTGCCCATCTAGGTACCATGTGTGGCCCAAAGGTCACGCTCCGACCAACTATGCCAAATGGCGAACAGCCACCACGCCGTATAAGGTGGAGTGGGAGCCGGACTTTGAGCCGTACGTCGTAGTGAGGCGGGACTGTCCGGAGTACGACCAGCGCTTTGTGGGCTTCGGCTGGAACAAAGTGTCCCACATAATGGAGCTCGATGCACAGGTACGTCTGCAGCATAGTGCGGAAGTGCAAGAAAACTGCTGTTCCTCGAGTGTCCACTTGAGGCTGGCTGAAAAGTCCAAGGAATATCTTTTAGGTCCCATATTAAAATACTAATTACCTACAGCAGCAATTAACATTTAATGGGGATCCAATAACAACGTTCTTTATCAGAACACATTGGAGGTGGGCTAAGATTTCGTCATTTACATAATTAGGGCTATGGCTTGGCTGACGGTGGGTGCATTGTAGCTGTTTGTCAGGAGGCTTAAGGCCCGCCTTAGCTCCACCTCTTTGCCCATTACTAGATTAATCAACAGACAGGGGGTTTCCAAAATGGCAACCACCATTGTTTGGGCTTCAAAATGCCTCTTGAGAAGCCGATGGGCAACATTACTGTGACTACGTCCATGTTTATACAGTCTATGGTTTTGATGGAAATGTTTAATAACAGATGAGGTGCTAAGGTCGATTAGGGTACACCTCTGTGGTTTTATCTCAAATACAGAGGAGGTGTTCCCTTACCATTACCAGAATCAGAAATGCCCCTTCCATCCATCCATCCATCCATTATCTATTCCGCTTTTCCCGTCCAGGGTAGCGGGGGGCTGGAGCCGTTCCAGCTGTCATTGGGCGAGAGGCGGGGTTAAACCCTGGACTGTTCTCTAGTCAATCACAGGGCTGACATATAGAGACAGACAACCAGCCACACTCACATTCACACCGAAACAACAAAAATACGGACAATTTAGAGTCAGCAGTTAACCTAACGAGCATGTCTTTGGACTGTGGGAGGAAGACGGAGTACCCGGAGAGAACCCACACATGCAGAGGGAGAACATGCAAACTGTTATTTTAAAACCCCCAAAATATGTAAAGATATTACCCAGTTTTAAACATGTTTTAAATGCAAGTCCATTGGTCCATTGTCTTGTTTCTAAACTTTCTTTTTCCCTCTTGTCTTCAGGAGTACGACCTGATGGTTCTCCCCAACGCCTTTATGATCCACATGCCCCACGCTCCCAGCTTCGACATCTCCAAGTTTCGCTCCAGCTCCAGCTACCGCAACTGTCTCAACACCCTGAAGGACGAGTTCCACCAGGACCTGTCCAGGAAGTACGGCTCAGCTGCTCTCAAGTACCTCACGGCCCAGAGGAACATCTAAAAACCACAACCGAGGAGAGGCAGCGAGTCCCGCCAGCCTCGAGTTCCCGACATGTACCGAGGCAGCAGTGCGCCGCGGCCCGCTAACGCCGCACAGCACAAACAATGAAAGTAAAGCTTTACAGCCCCTGTGTAACATTTTGGGGGCTCCTCGTGCATTAATTCTCCAGTCGACTCCAGCTCAAGGCGACAAGAGGACGAGGCGCAAAGACCAAAAACCGGACAGAGTGATGGTGGTTTTTTCGAAACGCAGGAGTCACCGGGCTAAAGGAGGCGATCAATGGGTGAGGATCGGACTAGCTTTAAGGTGGAGAAGAAGCGCATTCTTACAATTTGTTCTGACAATCAGAGCCTTTGGGGACACGGTGCGGATCAGTCCGTCCACATCGAGATCTGGACCCGACAGGACCCGTGGTGTTCTGGGGAAAGAGAAGTTTGTGAGGCCAGTCGAACTGGAGAAAGATTTAAGCCTTATCACTTTTCACAATATTTACGGAGATATTCAAAGATGTTTTAGTTCTTTTCTTTTTTCCAGTGTAAATCAGAACCAATCAATAATGAACATTTACAAAGTTTTGATTACGAGCTTACACAAGAATCCGTTTATTTTTCCTTTCTATATTTTCTGACCTCTTTCAAAGAAAGTCCATCAAGTCCAGTCGAACTATGTCCAATTTTCTGTGAGCTTCAGGGATGTGCTTTGTGTGTGTGTTTGTATGAGAGTGTGTGTGTTGCAGCTGCATTACATGGCTCGTCTCCAATACACTCACTGATTGTCGTCAACATCGCTCTCGTTCTGTCTCATGTATTAGCTTGCATGTAAAGGGTTGCACTACACGTTTTTATTTTATTCTTATTTCACTTGGGGACATTTAACTTTTTTTTCCCATCATGCATCCCTCTGGAAGAAGCAACAATCCTTTCATAATAACAGATCTATCATCACTAATGGGACCAACTCGGACACGTTAAGTGAGTTGGTATGAATGAATTTTGACTTTTTTATGTTTTTTACATTCATCAAATTATGTCTAAATCACTGGATTTAAATGTGCCGTCTACTGAACCCTGTTTGGTTCTTTGTAAAGTTCAACTGAAATGACAAAATTCTCTCTGTTCTGAAATATGTATTTGTCGTTTTATTCAATCAAAAGCATAATATCTTGTTTTTATGAATCACACAGAAATCCAAAATTAAGCCTCCAAACTCAAAATAATGCATTTGAAGTTGTGTTTGGACTCTGACTGTGTATGTTGTTCTGCAAATGTTAATTTCCCTTCCTGGCTTTCAGGAAGTGAGTCCAACAGTCCGACCCCCCC